AATAACAATACATACTTAACAATCATACCTATATAGGATAATCAGTAACAGATGCGTATTCTGTACAGAATATTCAATAACAAAAATTAATTAATGTAGTATATTCAGTTACATGTGAATATTCATAACACATTAAACATTCTGATGGCCACTGGTACAAAGGACTTCCTGGTACGTTCAGACTTGCACTTTGGAGCAATCAATCTATGGTTGAAGGTGCTCTTGTTGATCACCCAAAGAGCATGGATTGGATGGGAGAAATCGTCCATGATTGATTTTAACTTAGAGTATTCTTTTCTCAGCCACATGCTAGATCATATCAAATTCAGTCCCCACAACCGAACCAGCTTTCTTTATCAATTTGTTGACTCGATGTAGACCTCCCATGCTAGCACCCTCTCCCCAGCACACCACAGCAAAGAACAGAGTACTTGCCACCACCGTTTGATAGACGTTGCACAGTAGAGGACGGCAGATGTTAAATGACCTCACCCTTTTAGAAAATAAAGTCGGCTTTGACCCTTCTTATACATGTCTCCATGTGGCTCTTCCAGTCCAGCTTATCATCAAGCTGCACACCGAGATGTCTGTGACTGGAGACCATCTCCATTTCACTCCCATGGATGGTGATTGGGATTAACGGTGTCTTCTTCCTTCTCCTTAAATCTACAACCATCTCCTTTGTTTTTAAGATGTTAATAAAGTTGATTGAATTGAATTCTTAACATTAGGCTACTTTGCGAAATTGCGATTCGATACATTCTTTTCAGTAGGCCTAAATTTGTGGTATATATACTATATATATATATATTTTTTTTTTTTTACAGAAATTACGTTTGGTATTATTATAGATGTAAAGAAGTCATTCTGTTGGATACTATTTGTTCCTTCCTTGGTGTAAAATGGAAATGCATATAAGCAAAAAAAACTAAATGGTGTAACAGAGCTTTAGAAATAGACACATTTTTCTGCATTAATACCTAAATATAAAATTGAACTAGTCCATGTTTGATTGAGCTTCGAACCCATGTCACTG